TTTTACTTTTATTTTTTTTATTCAATACTTCCCTTTTTCTTATTTTTTAAATCACTCCTGAAAATTAAAAAAAAATTAATATTTTTTCGGATTTTTTTTATTATTTTAAAATAAAAATAAAAATAAAATAATATTAATAATAATAATTCACCTTTTAAGTTTTGTATTTTTACCCTATAATAAAAAGTGTAAAAAAGCTAAAAATTGTAGGTTAAAACCCCTAAAATATTTACATAGAAGAAGTGATAAAAAATTAAATATTATCAAAAATTAGGTGCTCACACCGTTGGGTTGTCGTAAGCCCGGCTCATACGGACACAGTTCGTTCGATCGTTTGTCCCAGTACATCATTTCCTATTGGAACCTTGTTTGTCATTTCTCGGGAAATGCGTGGACGTTGCCTCGTTAAAAACCTTGTCGGTAAAAACCCATTTCGGGGTAAAAGACTCGGTCGAAGGAAAAGAGTACGACATTTGCTCGAGGATATTTATGGGATTTTACGATCGGATGCCCTAGCAGTAGTATCGCTTAAGCATCGATACATTCCAGTTGCTCGGAAGCTGTTCGCCATCCATGGTGCCAAGCTTATAGGATCCTTTGCCAACTATCCCGAGGACACGGTATGACCCTTCCCAATTCTGGCCCCGCTTCCCTTCATTAGGGTTTCGGGTGTTGAGAGTAACCTTCATTAGGACCAAGTCCCCGATCCCGAATATCTGAGATTTGTTCTTCTGTTGTAGTATCTTTCGATTTACTGCTTCTGGGTAGCCATCCGAATCAGCAAGGCCTCCCATCTTTTGTTAAGCAGCTCAAGGGCCGTTGTCATGGCCTCGTTGTTCAAGCCCTCATTAGTGTTCTGGAATATGGCGCTCGGTTCCTCGACTTCCACTGGTATCAATGCTTCGGCACCATATAATAGAGAGAAGGGTGTTTCCCCGGTGCTCGATTTTGAAATTATTTGATATGCCCACAGCACCTCGGGCAGCGTTTGTCTGCATTTTCCCTTGGCGCTCTCTAGTTTCATTTTCAAGTACTGAATGATGGTTTTATTCGTAGATTTGGCCTGGTCGTTTGCACACGGGTGGTAAGGTGTTGACAGGATTCTCTTGATTTTGCTGTCTTCAAGGAACTGTGTTACCTTGTTCCCAATGAACTGCCTCCCTCTATTGCATGTTATTTCAGATGGGATTCCGAACCGGCACATGATGTGATCCCATATAAAATTGATGACTTTCTTCTCTCTTATTTTCTCGAAGGCCTACACTTCCACCCATTTTGAAAAGTAATGAGTCATAAATAGAATGAATCTAGCCTTACCTGGTGTCGTTGGTAAAGGGCCGACGATGTCCATTCCCCATTTCATGAATGGCCATGGTGATAAAATGGAATGCAGTTGCTCGATGGGCTGGTGGATCATGGAAGCGAACCTTTGGCACTTGTCGCATTATCGGATGAATTCTCTGGCATCTTATTCCATGCTGTCCCAATAGTAGCCCGCTCTGATCACCTTTCGAACTAAAGAATCGGCCCCGGAATGATTTCCGCAGGTGCCCTCGTGGATCTCTCGGAGAACATAATCTGTGTCACCTGATACCAAGCATACCGCCAGGGGGGCATCGAAAGTTCTCCTGTACAGAGTCCCATTTTCGTCAAGCGAGAACCGGGCTGCTTTGGTTCGCAAGGCCCTCGATTCTTTTGGATCTGTGGGTAACTTCCCGCCCTTTAGATAAACGATATATTTATTTCTCCAATGCCATGTCAGGATAGTGGAGTTAATCTTCGCGTGGCCTTTCTTGACCACAGATTTGAACAATTGGACGACAGCTCTGGGGAGTAGGTCTTCTTCTTTAGCAGAAGATCCCAAGTTTGCGAGGGCATCGGCCTCGCTTTTTTGCTCTCAGGGTACATGGATTAAGGTCCATTCTTTGAAGCGACGTAATGTGATTTTGATTTTGTCCAAGTACCTCTGCATTCTGTCCTCTCGGGCTTCGTAGCTTTCGTTCACTTGGCTTACTACGAGGAGCGAATCGCATTTTGCCTCAACAGTCTCGGCCCCTAAGTTTTTGGACAATTCTAAACCTGCAATCATAGCCTCATACTCGACTTCATTGTTAGTTATTTTTGCGGTTTTTATGGATTGTCGGATTATGCCGCCAATGGGCGACTTTAGGACTATACCGAGCCCAGATCCTCTTATATTTGTGGCGCCATCTGTGAATAGGGTCTATACTCTGGAGGACGTGCCCGATTTCAATAAAAGTTCCTTCTCTACCTCGGGCATGAGGGATGGCGAGAAATCAGCCACGAAGTCCGCTAGGATTTGGGACTTGATGGTCGTTCAAGGTTGATACTCGATATCATACCCTCCGAGTTCAATGGCCCATTTGGCCAATCAACCCGATAACCCGGGTTTGTGCAGAATGCTCCGGAGGGGATAAATTGACAGAACGCAAATACGGTGATACTGAAAATAAGGCTTCAGCTTGCATGAGTCACTTATCAGTGCGCGAGCCAATTTTTCCGGATGGGGATACCGGGTTTTGGCGTCCTCCAAGGTTCGACTTACATAATAAACAAGAAATTGTGTACCTTTCTCCTCTCAAACCAGTACGCCGCTTACCGCTATTTCAGATACGGCCAGGTATAGAAGTAGCACTTCATCCTCCTTGGGTGTGTGCAGCAAAGGCGGGCTAGTCAGGTATCGTTTCAGTTCTTCTAGGGCGCGTTGGCATTCTAGAGTCCATTCGAAGTTGCTCTTTCTTTTGAGTAGGGACAAGAAATGGTGGCTTTTGTTCGATGACCTTGATATAAATCTGCCCAGGGCCGTTATTTGCCCTGTCAGCCATTGGACCGATTTTACATTGTTCACCATCGTGATCTCTTCGATGGCTTTTATCTTATCGGGATTGATATAGATCCCTCTATTTGAAACCATGAAGCCCAGGAATTTACCCGAACCTACTCCGAAATAGGGCTGTGCACGGATCGGATCGGATCGGATCGGATTTAACATATTTCGGATTCGGATTTCGGATTTCGGATTCTGAAAAGGGCAATCCGAATCCAATCCGAATTAACATTGGATCGGATGGGATTTGAAACTTTGGATCGGATAATTTTTCGGATTGTCGGANGGATTCTGAAAAGGGCAATCCGAATCCGATCCGAATTAACATTGGATCGGATCGGATTTGAAACTTTGGATCGGATAATTTTTTGGATTGTCGGATCGGATTGTCACTTTTCAGAACTTGTTCGAAGTACATAAACAAATGTTGGGAATTACTTTCCAAATACAAATGGAGCAATCACTTTTCAAATACTTGTTTGAACTTCGAAATTAAGTACTTCACATTGTTAACAATGTTCAATTTACAGTACACAACTGATTGAACTGAGTACTCATAAAAATTAATAATGCAACTGAGTTCAAAAATGCACAGCCCTAGGGATCTCTACGCAATACGTCTTAAATTTACACAACTGGACTCACTGAGTAACAATGTTCGAACTGCAGGTTGTCCATCAGTTTGAAGTTTGCAGGTTGTCCATCAGTATTGTGAAGTTTGAAGTAACAATGCACAGCCTTAGGGAAGTTTCTGCAGATTGTGAAGTTACACAACAATGCACAACTGAGTAACAATGTTCGAACTTAACAAAACAAAACAACAATCTGAAATTTACACAACTGGACAGTAAACCAAACTGAAGACCCCAAACAAAACACAATCAATTGTCTTTCAAACCATATTTTCACCCCAAACCGAGAGGACTGAGTCACTGAGATAAAGAGTGAAGAAGAAGAGAGACAGAACCGCGGAAGCTTGGTCGACTGAACTCTGAACTTCACTGGCTTGACTGTGGCAACTGGCAACAATGAACTCTGAAGAGTGAAGGTGAACTAGTGAACTGAAGAGAGGCGGAAAAGAGGAAGCATCGATATAACCTAGGAATAGTATTTAGGGTAGTATAGTATACTTAACCGGGTTAAGTTAACCCTAAAATTTTAGGGTAGTATAGAATTTAACTATTTATATATAGGCCCATATAATTTCGGATTTCAGATCGAATCGGATTAAAATCATGCCAATCCGAATCCAATCCGAAAATCTGAAATTTTATAAAACATAATCCGTATCCAATCCGAAAATCCGAAATCCGAAATCTGAAAATCCGAAATAGAGTATGTCGGATCGAATTTCGGATATCCGATCCAAATGCACAGCCCTACTCCGAAGGCACACTTCTCGGGGTTGAGCATCATGTTGTAGCTTCTGAGAATGTTAAAAGTTTCCTGTAAATGGGTCAGATGGTTCTCTGCACGCATGGATTTGACTAGCATGTCATCAATATATACTTCCATTGATTTACCTGCTTGAAGCTTGAACATTTTATTAACAAGATGTTGATATTTTGCTCCTGCATTTTTTAGCCCGAAAGGCATTATACTATAGCAATATGTACCATACTTTGTGATGAACAAGGACTTTTCCCTGTCCTCGGGGTTCATTTGGATTTGATTATACCCCAAGTAGGTATCAAGAAAAGTGAGGGTCTCGTGGCCGGCCGTTGCATCGATCAGACGATCGATATTAGGCAACGGGAAGGAATCTTTGGGCACGCTTTATTCAAGTCATTATAATCTATGCACATTCTTAACTTGTTCCCATTTTTGGCACTACTACTATGTTACCCAGCCATTCGGGATACTTAATCTCTCTAATGGATCCGATTTTAAGAAGTTTCTATACCTCCTCTTTGATGAAGGCATGTTTTACCTCAGACTGTGGTCTTCGCTTTTGCTTTATGGATTTGAATTTGGGATCAACGCTTAGCCTGTGAGAGGTTATTTCTGGCGAGATTCCTGTCATATCTAGGTGGGACCGGGCGTAACAGTTGATATTATTACTAAGAAATTGAATAAACCCTATCCTAAGTTCGGGGGTCAACTTCGTTCCCAAGTATACCTTACAATCCGGGAGGTGCTCGATCAAAATGGTCTACTCTAGCTCTTCGACTGTTGATTTGATTACATCCAATTCCTCGGGGGCGACAAAGGTACGGGGGGCAAAGAAATCTTCCTCGTCGTCTTCAAGGGTTTGTATGCTTCCCTCCTCGTTCGAGACGGGGAATGTGGGGGTTGGCGCCTCATGGTGGACCGCAAACATTCCTTTCGCTGCCCACTTTTTTCCATGTATTGTCGTGATGCCATCCCTCATGGGAAACCTTATCACCTGGTGTAAGGTTGGGGGCACTGCCCTCATGCTGTGTATCCAAGGCCTGCCGAGTAAGGCGTTGTACCTCATGTCGCCATCGAAGACCTGAAACTCAGTGTTCTGGATCGTGCCAGATGTGATGATCAGGAGGGTGATCTCTCTTTTCGTTACTTTGCCGGTCATGTTGATGCCATGGAGGATTCGAGGGAAGGGAACGACTTGATTGAGCAGCCCCAGCTGTTCTACTACTTCTGATCTGATTATGTTGGCCGAGCTGCCTGGATCCATGAGCATGCGCTTTATCCTGGTGTTGTTTAAGAGAAACAAGATCACTAGCGCATCGTTGTGCGCTTCTATCATGGCCTTGAGGTCCTCCTCGCTGAATACGAGGGTATCTTTGGGTACGCGATTTTGGGTCGGTCCTTCTTCCGTAGTGGACATTCTCGTTCGTTTGAATATGGGTCCTTGGGGAATGTTGGTTCCCCCAATAATCATGTAGACGTTATGTTGGAGAACCTTCCCTTACATCCGGGTTGAATCCGGTGGTGTACCGGCCTCTAGGACAGTCGTGTCCTTCTCTCTGTTGTTTTCACGGTTCTGGTTTCCTATTTTACTTGTCGAGCTAGGCGCTCTGTCCTAAAATTGAGGATCATGGACCAGAAATAGTGTGAAAGATAACTTGCATATTTATGATGAAACCAATAAGAAAATAATCACTATTATTTTTAGCCCTACGGTGGGCGCCAAAATGTTTACCGTGAAAATGGTAACAACAATTAAATTTATAAATAGGACTCTAAAAATACGTGATCTATTTTTATACTAGTTGTTAGAGCAGTTGATGCTAAATATATGGAGTTTAACGAATAGATACAAGCTAAAACGGGGCAGTAATCAAATTGAGAGGCTTGCTACCCAGGCTTCGGACTGGTCGTTGAAGGGCCTTGAGGCCGATATCCGGCTCGAGATCGAGCTATCGGGGGTAACCGGGAAAGAGATAACAGTTTAGAATATAATTAAGGAAGACTCTTTATGGACAATACACAGCAATAAATGAAGAACAAATATGAAAGCAATAAATACTAAGAGTGGCCTCAAGCGAGTAAGAGAGAGAAAAGAGAGAGAGATATTATTGATCTTGTGTCGAATAGTTTGAGCAACAGTCGAGCCCTACAAAGTGATGGGGATCCCATTTATATAGGAGGGAAATCCGTTATAGTAGAAAATGTGTTAGCTGTAAAGGCGTGGAGATAGGATGGCTGGACGGGACATCTTGAAATAGTCCCCGGATAGGTCAGTCCAGTTAGGTTAAGCCACGTGCCTTGGGAACGCCCCTCTTGCTTGCTATAGCCTGCCATAGCCGTTGGAATGCGTTGCCCTCCAGACCGGTACCTGACGACCCCCGAGGGTGAGTCTCGACCTTGGCTTCGAGCTTCATGGATCATGACCGTAAGACGACCTTATGACGGGGAAATCGGGCCCCGGATTTGCTATATACACTCTTTCCTTATTTGTTATTTACTGATTCTTGCTAACTATTTCCTTAATTGGACCCCTGTTCATTCACCCCTAATTACCTTACTTGATTTCCTTCCTTAAAATATCTTTCCTGCTTTTACCGTTGATTGATTATCCCTTGATTAAAGTGAAGACTTACTGATTTTACATGTGATTGATTCCATGAATTTCCCTAATTGCTACTCACTTGATCCCTTGCCTTATTTTGTTTAACTCTTGATTACTATATAAACTCCCTCTTATTTTAACTGCTGAAAACGAACAATAGTTCAAAAACTATCACTTTACACTCTAAAAGGCTCTCTCCGCTCTATTTTCTACTTGTGATCCCTGTTATTCTAGATGGCTACAAGCCAAGGCTGGGAATTGCACAATACCTTGCTCACATCTTGTGTTTTCTTTCTTTAACTAGGTATGCTTTTGATTAATTTTAAGAATCAAAACCTTTGTATTTACTTACTGTGAGCACGTGATTTTTGCCTCGCATGAATTACTCCTACAGAATCTCCAGAATTAGGATTTTTCTTTTTATTATTTGGTTTTTAGGAATTAATTGCTCAATTTTTGTGTTTGTTTACATTTTGTGTGCATAATTAATTTTATTTAAATCATGAAAAATAGTAAAAATATCACTCACTGCATTTAGGACTTAATTTGATATTTTTAGATTAATTAGTAAATTAGTTTGTTTTATAAAATATGAAAATCACAAAAATAGTTCATTTTGCATTTTAACTCTTTAATTTTGAATTTTATAGTTTTTCTTTAAATTTAGAGTTTAATTAATTATTGTAAATACTATGATGAGTGATTAATCTAATTGGGTAGGTTAATTTGGTTTTAAAAAAAATTAATTTTCGTTTTATTTTAATTTGAAAGGAAAAAGAATTTGAAATTGAAAAAGAAAAAGAAAAGAATTTGAATAAGAAGTCTGTTTGGGCCATTTTTATTTAAAATTCCCCAGGCCCAAACGATTATGCCTCATTACCCATCCAGAACCGGCCTAGATCCGGGTCCAACCCGGTCCAAACCCCTCAGTAACCGAAACGACGTCGTTTGATTACCCTTTGATCACGGCCGTTGGATCTCCTTAATCCAACGGTCCGGAACTGGGGAATCAATAATATATATATGTCCAAACGTTACCCTACCCCCCCTCGTTTCATCTCCCTCACCTCACTCTTCTCCGGAGACCCTTACCAAAAACCCTAATGCCGCCCCGAAATCCCACTACCTTAGGCCGGCGGCGCCGGTCCCAATCAACACCAGATCAACACTTCAAACTCCCTTTCACCTCCCCATTCCGAATCATCACTCCTCTTCTTTCGAATCTGTCCGGAACGACTCGACTCTTGATTTAAAAGGAAAACCCTAGCGCTGCCCTTGTTTTCTCCGGTGGCGGTGCCACCTATGTTCAACCCCAAATATCACCCGTCCAACCACCAGCCTTCCCTCAGCCCCAATCCACCACCATTTCTCCTTAGATCCTCACCAAATCGGCCTGTTTTTGAATCTGGAAACAAAAAAAAAAAGAAATCCATCAAGCTTTCCAATTTCTTTGAGTTATAGGGCTTGAAACGGGTATTAATTGTTTGTTTTCGTTGAGAACATACAGTTAATACTTGTTTTGAGTCAAATAGGAGTTGTTCGAAGGTTCATCAATTCTGGTCCGAGATTTTCTTTTAGGTATTCTTCTTTTCTTTACCTTTTGATTTTTTACTTTTGCTCTCTTCTCATCTTCTTCTACTTTTTCTTTTATTTTTTTTATTTTTATTTTTTATCTTTTCATCTCTTCAAGTCATCCGTATTTGCATGTTAATTTTAGAACTTGTTTAATTAGTATTTATTTTTTGTTTTTTTAAGTTTCTTTGGGCCCAGAATCGCACGAGTCTTTAAGACTCTGTAAACGAACTGGTAAAGGCCTCTGAGCTTTCAATTTTGAAATGAGACTTCGATAAAACCAACAACCCAAGAGGGGATTCGACCTGAATTCACAGACCCATGACATTTGAATTGGGTCAATTTGGCCCATGTGTTGTCTGGTCTCTTATAGTAAAAACAGGGTTCACAAGGGGTGATTTAGGGATTTAAGCTAAAGGAATAATCTGTAACTAACTGAGGAAGCTTCCTAGAAGCTGGGATGGGGATTTAACTGAAAATCTGAGTTGTATACTAAGGATACTTAAGCAAGAATAAAAATTCAAAAAGGGTAAAAAATGCAAAACTGAATTCATTTGGGCTGCCCTAACGCCTTGCCTATAAAGGCATTCTTACTTGAAGCTAAAGCCAAATTTGGAGGAGAGGGGAAAAATTCTGAAAACAACTAAACGGCTGAAACTTTTTGCAGAAAACACTGTTTCATTGGACTTTAGTTTTGAAATCTGAAATCCTCTTCTTTCTGAATCGATTTCTTGATTATTTGAACTTCAAAATGGCTTGAGACTTAGTCATTGAGATTGGTTTAGAGGTCTGTTGGTTAGACTGTGCATTTGAAACTGATTTCTGGGCTGCAGTACTTCATTTTCTGGGTTCTGAAATTGCTTTGCTGGTTTGCTCTTTGTTACTGGACCTGCTGCTAATTCCATGTTGTTTCACTTGCTGATTCTTCACTTCTTTGTTACTCTTTTATTTCCAGATATTTCTTTGAACCACTGAATGGAAAGTGAAGTTATAAAGTGTGTTTTGATTATGGAAAACCTAGAGTCTTGTTGAAAATGCAACTGAGTTCGTTTTGTGTTTGAAGACCAGTCTGCATAAGTTCATAAGCTGTTTAGTTCTTTTTTATTGTATTTTTAGACTTCGTTGTAGTGTTGGACAAATGCTTCTTTCCATTTGTTCAGTTTAAATATTTGAAGTTTTTGATCATATGTGAGGGTGGTAAAGAATTAGTGCAGTAGAAACTTCTGAAGAGTTAAGCATGCTTCAGATTTGTGTTAGCCTGTTGAAACTAGTGCTGCTATGGGAATTTGTTTGAATCTGTTTAAATTCTTAAGGTTGGGAACCAGAAGGTTTCACATTGTAATCTATCTGGTGTTGTACTCTACTATTTAGAAACCATGTAGCAATTTATTTCATGAACTGTTAATTGAATGGCTTCCAAGTTTAGTAGTTAGCTTATAGTTATTGTGAACAAGAAAAATTGGTATTGCTTTAAGAATAGAGGGAGGCACTAATTTACTTCTATTTTACTTATGAGCATATTTAAGTTGAAGTTGTCATTTAAAATTCAGAACGCTTAGCTTTTACTCTGTGCTTGAAACGTTAAAATGCAGAAATAAAATGTTAGTTCAATTTCGTATCTTGTATGGCCTTAGTTGATTGGCATTAAAATGATTCTGTACAAAGGTTTGGTTCTGAAGTTTAGGCCCAATGTTGGCCTAGTTGACAAAAGGTTTGACCTCAGATTTGACTGTCCTAGGACGTCCTTTCCTCCCTAAGAATTGGGCTCATCTTAGGCCTAAGCCTGAAGGCATCTGTAAATGGATTATTTACCTCTTGCTGGTTGGGCCTGTTCGTTTCATCAAATTCAGCTCCTTCGTTTAGTTATTTTATTGTGAAGGCAATTTCTTTTTTTAGACGTTTAGTTGTTCAGTACAGTGCTTAGTAGTTGCTACATAGGTTCGAACAAATAATTAGAATCCCATTAAGCTTTCCTCAATTAATTAGACTCTTAAAATCGGGTTAGAAGTGCGATGCGCCAAATAAAATCTCAAAATGCGTGGCCCTCACTTAATTATATCTTTTAAATTCTTAGAAATCGAGGCGTGCCATTTAGCAAATTTCCATGACCCTCGCAAATTTAAAACACGTAGTTGCTTTAGGCGCATATTTTAATAATATTACCTTCCTAAACTCGGGTGTACATTTCATGTGACCCAAATCCAAATCTCAACAACGTTAAATAAAATGTGTCGTGGACCGCG